CACATTTATTGAATATACCCGCTGAGTACTCTAAAAAGAAACAGTCCCCTTTTCATAAAGTAGAGTTCACTATTAGTCGGGGGGTGCTCAACTTTTTAAGTTGGATGCCAAAAGGGCATTTGAGTTTGAAATCTTGTTCACGCTATGCAACCAGCATTCTCAACCTTGAATGGTATTTTCAACCTTAAGGATTTTCCGATCTTGTCTATATTAAGATTTCATCTACTCTAGGCACAATAGTCTTACCTAAGTGAGTGACGAAGCCAACTTTCTTTCCCGTTAGGTAGGTTGTAATTTTATGCCACATGCTAATAATTGGATTATTGGGCAATATTAGATTAGGATTCATTTAGTAGATAATCTAATGCTACTTTTGTCCTAAATTAAACTTCCCATTCGCTTTTTTTTGCAGAGTTAAGAAAAAAATTGTATGGTTGAGAATTATGCCGAGAGAGAAATAATGTTTACCATTCAATGCTATCCTCAAAAGGAATGAGAAGTTTACTTTGGGACAAACCAAAACGGGAAATGGAGAATTTGTTTTGGGGCGGATGGAGTATTAGGATTTATTTCTGGTAGTATTAACAATAAGTATAACTCTAGACATTTTGATTAATTCAAGGGAGTAAAACAATCCACCAGTATTTATTTTTTCAGTGAAAGAATGCTGCACCAAAATATAGGGAACCTTTTTTCACTTTAGAATTTTTGGTGGTTTCCATTCATCTTGTACAAATATTAAATATATTTCCTAGTAGAAAAATTATTTCACTCATGAATTAGTGATATCACTGTATTTAGCTTTTATTGCATTTTTTCGGTGTTCTGCCAAAGTTTCCTAATGAGCTTACGTGTTTCAGGCTTGTACTGGGTAGCTTATTAGATTCGTGTGATAAAGCCCCTTCATCTGAGTGTTACGAGCTTCTAAAGTTGTTTGTGACCTGCCGGAGGGCATTTAAATATCTACTAATGGCATCATTTGAGGATAGGAGAGAAGGTTGTCAGTCCTCCCTCAGTCATATACTGTCAGATGGTCTATTTCCTTCTATATGGCTCATGAAATCGTTGTCTGCGGTAATTGGAATTGAAAATGCATGTTCAGAAGATTTTTCTTCTCCCGTAAAACACTTGATGCTTTCATTAATGGATCACACATCACATGTGTTCTGCAGTATTGTTAAAAATCATTTTGAATGTGCTGTTTTCTCATTGACCTCTGCTGAGAAGCGTTTTGATAGAAGTCCTGGATCTGCTATTGAACATCAAGACACTGATCTTGATGAATGTGAACCACATTCAGATTCCCCTTGTAATGAGATCCCATTTAAAAGTATTATAGTACTTGCTGAAACTCTAAGTGAACACATAAATAGGTCACTTGACTCTTTGAATGCATTTCTCATTGAAAATAAGAGAGATTTTGGTGCGTCTCGGGAGTTGAAAGAGATATCATCAACAACATCCTGCTTACAGGGCTTTTTGCAGGGCCTTGCTTCGGCATTGAATGACATGGATAATGAAGAGTGCTGTAAAAATGCAACATTATCATTGTGCAAAAGTGAGCATATGTTCAAAATTATGCATTGCATTGATAGGTGTACATTTTTCATAAATAATGTCATACATATGTTGCTACTTGGAGACAATCAGTTGCCTCAATGCTATTCAAATCCCCAAAGTCCTGCCACTGATGCAGTTGAACCAAGCAAGTCTTTGTGCACATTTGGTGGCTCCATAATGAATGAAGAAGGGATTCAAAACTATGAGTCAATGGACTCATGCCCTACTGGGATGATGGGTGGCCCTAGTAGAATTTCTGACCAAATGAAAACTGATACTGAGGCTCTCTTGTCTAGAGTTGGCACTGAACAAACATGTGTAAAGAAATATTTGTTGCAGGCTATTTTGAGAGGAGAAAATCCTGAGGCGGAATTGTGTTTGAGACAGCTCTTTATTGCCTCTTCAGCTATTCTGAGACTAAACTTGCAGATCAACCAGACTAAGTTGTCTTGGAGCTTGATTCCCTCTTTAATTCAAATTTCAGAGTCTCTGCTTCTGGACTTTGCCAATGATAGAGAATCACAATCATTCTCTCTTGTTGGCTTGTATGGTGTATTAAAGTTTCTTGAAGAAATAGGAAAATATTTCCCTTTGTTGAACCCATCAATTTCACGAAATTCGTACGTCATGCTTATAGATTTGCATTTGAAGGCAATAGGAAAATGCATATGTCTTCAGGGAAAGGGTGTTACTCTAGCAACAGATGAGATGGAATCAAGTACTAAGATGCTAAATGCTCTTGTAGAACCTGAGCCAAATGGATCTCATTGCACATACAGCTTGGATGAATTCAAGTCCCAATTAAGGAGCTCATTCAGAGCGTTTGTTGGAAAAGCATCTGAATTGCATTTATTATCTGTACTTCAGGCTATTGAGAGATCAGTAGTTGGGGTGCAGGAGGGTTGCATGGTAAATTATGAAGTGTGTACTAGAACTTCAGATGGGGGGATGGTTTCCTCAACTGTTGCTGCTGGCATTGAATGTTTGAATATGGTGCTTGAATCAGCGACAGGTATCTTTCACACATCATTATTGTTTTACTGGTTAAAAAAATTAATGCAATTAATTGCCCTAAAACATTTCTTTAGATATAGGGTCTATGGCTGCTGCAGATCATGTCAATTGCCTTCTTTAATGATGATTTTATTTTGCTTGATTCTCATTGGGTTAGTGCTGGTTGTTAACAAAGCTAAAATGCAGTAGGCTCTTGAAGCATTGCCAGTCATTGGATACATGAATTTATAATTGAGTTTTTAATGAACTATATTTAGGTTTAGGGATGGTGCTTTCCTAATATTTATCCCGACAAGTGTCAGCTAGTAATTGTCTTCTTCCTTTTTGGCTACTTATGTATGGATGGTACGTCATTCGGTCCCGACGGAGCTTAGAGAGTCACTTTTGGCAATGTTTTAGCTTAGGGTAAACAATGAACTAAATAAAAATGATACATATAACTCTGCTTGCTTCTTAATAAAGTTTTGGGCAGTAGATGCTACAATGCATCAAGGGTCTAACCGAAACAACCTCTCTATTTTTACCAATGTTATTTAAACCAAACTGGTTGTAAAACTGGCAAGCACACCGGTTTCCGGTTTATTCTGGGCTCTCAGGTTGATTCAATTTTTTGAGTTTTTGGGGGGTTCGATGTGACCGGTTTGGTGTCTGGTTCCCAGTTTGACCAGTCTGATCAAGTGGTACGGTTTGAAAACACTATTCTTACAGGGGTAAGACTGCATTTTTTTTACCCCCCTAGACCCCAACAGAGTGTAGATTATCCTGGCTTTGTTGTTGCTACTTCGGGTAAGGATGTTCTTGGGTGAAACTTTAGGATATTCATTTTTCAATTCTATTCATCATGAAGCTTATTTTATCATAGTTTTTGAGTGAGGTGTATAATGCTTACACTCTGATCTTATAGGGAAAAAGCGCTTAGCAGTGGTTAAAAGGCACATCCAGAGCTTAGTATCATGCCTTTTAAATGTAGTCCTGCACTTGCAAGGACAGAACATATTCTGTATGAGTGTTGATTCTAGCAATTGCTGTTTTGCTCATCCTGATTCTGGCTCTGTCATTCTCATATGCATTGAGGTTCTGATAAAGATTTGTGCCAAACATGCTTTTTTCCAATTGGAGAAATACCAGATTGCCCAGTTTTTGCGTCTGCCTGCCGCAATATTTCAGAACTTTTTCCAGCTTCAAGCTTCTACCACTCCATCTGTCAGGTCAAAAGAATTACCTGGAGTTGCTGACGTTGGAGGGACTGGATTTGATAATAAAGAATGCAGCCATGCCATCTATCAACAGTTTGTCTTGCGGCTGTATGCTGCTTGTTGCAGACTGTTGTGCACTGTTCTTAAGCATTACAAGAGGTTCTCTCTATTCAAATCCTATCATTTTCTGACTCTGGGTTTTTAAGTGTTCTTAAGTGCACTGTTCTTAAGCAATAGATTTTAACCATGGCAGATTTATTTGGTTTTTCTACTCAGAATATTTCATCATTTCTGTGGAAAAATAGCCTTTATTTAGTTAACTTGATTGTAATTTTGCAGTGACACTCAATCCTGCATTGCTCTCCTCGATGATTCAGTTAGTAAACTTCTTCACTGCCTGGAGGTAGAATCTGATTCAACTGGTACTATGATGACACCTTTTATAAGGGATGTACAAGATGGAGTAAAATGTGCCAGTTTTCTCAGAAGAATATATGAAGAGGTAAGTGTGGATTTTTACTGTTGCGTGCCCTCAAGATTTCATCTTACGGACTTGCCTTTGCTTTGTACTGAGAATATATTGTCTTCTTGTGGATATGCATTCATTTTCCCAATTTACAGCTTAGGCAACAAAAGGAGGTCTATCACCGCAACAGCTTTCAGTTCTTGTCCAGCTATATATGGGTTTATTGTGGATATGGTCCTCGAAAAGTTGGCATAAGAAGGTTGGTGTTGACAACAGCTCTCATTTTTCATCTCAAGCCAAACAACATCTGAAAGGTTTTTCATTTTTTTGCAGGGAAATTGATGAAGCTTTAAAACCTGGTATATACGCCCTGTTTGATATCTGCCCAACAGAAGATCTTAAATATCTTCATACCGTTTTCGGAGGTATATTGTCCCACTCCCTCCCTCTCCCCATATAATAATACACACATGCCTGAATTCCATAGGAATTCACATTCCCTTATAGTCCAAGGGCAAATAGTATCATTATTCCTCAGTCCCCAAGGGTGTGGTTGGAATCCAGAAAATGATCGGGACAGAAAGTATAAGAGAAAATACAAGGAAATTGTGGGATGGAAAAAAACATTGGGTAAATTGAAAAACATGTTCAAACTAAAAAAGCCATTTTTGTGGGCATTTCCTCATTCCCAGTCCCATAATCCCATTTTGTGTGTCCTAAACAAGACCTAAAGAGTTTCTTCACTACTGGCTTGCAGAGGGTCCATGCAGAAGTGTCCTTAAAGCTTTGCAAGAGGACTACAAGCTAAATTTCCATTACGAAGGGAAGGTGTGAGACCCTATCAACCTTTAGCATGTTTCTTCCCCCAAGCAGGAAATGGCTTCTGCAACATTGCTTTTCTTTAGGTACTTCCTTCTCCACCCTTTGAGTTTCTGGCCTTGCTATTAATTTTTCATGCACGTCCGCCCCTCCATTCATGAAAATGTGGACCTATTGTTACCCATTGAATAATGGCAAAAATTTTGTCCCCTTAATTGATTTTAATTACTATACATGACTCGAACAGGTTTTTAATGCACACTCCACCCCATACCATTCCAGTTTTTTTTCAAGGGTTGAATCAGTTTATCTTGGATTTGTTTATTATTGCTATTACTATGGTTTCATCCAGATTATATCTTCTTTATTTATGTATTTATTCAAATCATTTTGTCGTAATAAAATATTTGTGCCGACACTCGTTTTACACTTTCTCCGTTCCCAAATTAAATTCACACTTTGTTTCTTTCGTCTTAATATGAAATTGACACTTCTCTTTCCCTTTCACATATGAATTTTGTTTTGTATCAATATTTAAATTCATTAATTTGAAAATAAATTAAATCAAACATCATAAACCTAATGGTGAGATTTATTTAGCATGGGGTGGGGTATTGTTTTGGTTAGGGTCTAGTCTGAGAGTAGGTAAAATCTAGAATAGAATTAACCTAGGGATACACCAACATGGAGTACTCTATTTGTACACCAAATTAAAACAGACACATAATGTCTGTGCATTGTCTGTGTGTGTCTGTGTTAGTTTGGTGTACAAATAGAGTACTCCATTTCGGTGTACCCCTAGAATAAGTACAGGTAAATGAAATAGTGAAATACTCCGTACGAGGATAAAGTAATAATGGGCCTTTGATTGCTATGGTTGTCTGTCAATTCATAATTCATTCATGATAAAGTAATGAATTGAACATCTAGTACTCCCTACCTATTAAGTAGTGTGTGTAATATTCCTTGATGATGAATGGCTCCAAACATTTGTGGACAAGAAAATGGCAGTGCTAGCTGACTCACACTGTTGTGGCCTATGCTGCTGTACTAGGAGGGGTCATACAGGGTCTCAACTTTTGGGCCGATAGTAATGGTTGATAATCCAACCCAAAAACCCGGTAACCGACCCGGTTAAAACTCAAAATGTACCTAATTTGAGACCAGGTTCTATCCCAACGCCCATCCAGCCACACAATTGCCATCAAGACTTTATTTTACATTATAGCAAGTGAATAGTGATATAGCAAGTACTTTTTTGTTTCATTCTCCAAACATAATTTGCTATTTTATTTTTTAAGTATTGGCTTGCTAAAGTTTGATGGGGCTTGTTATATTTAGCAAGTCAAAGTCTTTTTTTGGCAAGTTTGCTAAAATAAAGCATACCCTTTGGAGAAGAACAAAAAGATTTAGCTAGCTTTATTATAACTTTTAGCAAGCTATAAACGTTGGAGATAGCTTTGAGATGTGGTGAAAATAGAAAGGCATAAACGTTGGTTTAATGATACGTTTTTATTTTGATCAACTTAATGATCGTACCTTAAAAAAACTTAATGATACGTTTTTTGAAAGATGTGATTAATATTCTCGATTTCCTAAAAGGTTGAGTTAATGTTGTCCAAATCACTATCAGTCTATCCTGATTAATATCGTCTAATATCCTAAAAGGTTGTATTAAGATTGATTTCAATTATATATTTTCTGTCATGGAAAAGATTTTATTTTCTTTGTTTTTAGTTGTGTAAAGTTATCATTTCATTTATGAAAATAAACGAATGTTTGTATTATTCTTATCTCTTCTGCATAAACCTTTACCATGTAATTTACACGGTACCGGGATTGGTGATTCTAGAGTTGAAACCACTAGAGTTGAAAGCAGCCCATGCCAACACACTATTTTTGCATGCTCCATTCATTTAAAAATCATCTTCCAGTACATGTCACGTTGTTTAACTGAAATTATTTTTAAAGTATTTTATATGAAAATGATAGAAATTAAAAAAAATACAAATTTGATATTTAAACTAAATCAAAAGATTTGTAAAGCAAACACGATGATATGATTATATTATTTTGTCAAATTGGTAATGAAAATAGGCTAACAAAGTGAATAAATTTTGATTATGTAAATAGTGAAATGAAAAATAATTTTTAGATAGAAGAGTATTATGTTGAACACTCAAGACAAATATAAATGTTTGTGTTTGCTCTTGTGTACAAAATGATGTCCTTTTTTGCCCCAAATTTTTATTGTTATAAATATTTCCTTATTTTGACTTTGGTATGGGCTCTATTCAGTATCCATACTCCATAGGATAGGGGTAAAATATCAGCCCATAGAGTAAAGTAGGGCAGCGACTTTTTAGGTTTGGTTATAAAAATACTAAAACCAGTGGGACATTTTCTTTTTTTTTCACTGGTTCGATCCAGAAAGAGGCGGGAGGGACTGGCCGGAAAAGATGAACTACTCCGATCGAAGCGCGGCTTCATCGTTCTTCGACGCATTCTCCTTGAACCCGCCTCCGTACAGAGTTCTTCTGATTCTATCGGTGATCGGGATCTTCCTCGGCATCAAATGGCACGTGTCGTACGAGGAGGCGGTTGAGTCCGCAGAGGAAAGCTTCAATTGGCTGCTGCTGCTGGTGCCGGTGGTGTTGATTTTCGCCGTCCGTTGGCTGTCGAGCATGGAGGCGCCGGCGTGGCTGCTGGGCGGGGCGCCGTGGAACCGGAGCAGGAAACTGAGGTATCTCGGGACGTCGGAAGGAGGCTCGCCGTGGGGTGTGGCGGCGTTGATCCTCTTGTTGCTCGTCTTGCTCCAGTTCAAGTCTGCTCTTCTCGACATGTAGACCACAAAACCCCTATGCACATCTTCATCTTCATCTTCCTCCTCCTCCTCCTCCTCCTCCTCTGGATATATATATATATGTATGTAATCAAAGAATAAACCTTTTTATAGATTAAGGTTTTAATTTGATCAATCGTAATTTTTAATTTCGGGGGCTGGCCTTAGATCAATTGTTCACTCTTAGCTCACTGTCAGTTAATCAGCAATCAGTGTGTGTGTAATCGGGGCTCTGTTTTCTGTGTATAATAGTGTCTGCCTTAAAATTTTCTTTTCTTTTTATGGAGTGTTTCTTTTTGGATGATTAGTTTTGAAATCTATGAACGCTGTTATCTATGAACTACTTGATTAGTTTACAACTTATAACTCAAGTTTAGTTTGTGTATCACACTTTCATTTACAAGTAAATTAAAGCTAAGAACTTGTAAGTTTTGGGTTATGCAACTTGGCCATGTTGTTGAACATCAAATCTGCATTTGAGTCATGTGAGCATAAATTACAGAATATATTTTCTTACAATGTTTGAAGTCTTTTCTAATCATAGATACTACGGAGTAACATGTTTCTATGTATGTGTGTAATATGTCCACCTAATCCTCCTGAATCTTCAAATTGGGGTGAACAGAAACCTCCTTGGGGTCTGGTGATTCATTGTTCAAATTGCAGAAAGAAAAGAATGTACCTTGGGACTTGGGAGTTAGTGGTCAAATCACTTTGTGAACATAAAAAAGGAAATTGGGTAAGAACAACAAGGAAATTGGTTTAAACCTCCTTCTTTGCATCCTTCTTTTCTTCATCTTCTTTTTACTCTTTCTTAATTATGTGACATTTTTGCCAAGAATCTCAAATCCCCTCTTTCTTCATCATTCTTCTTATTAGATCTTACCCAATTTTTTTCTGTGTTTGTAAATTGATTTGACTCCAAATTTTTTTTTACAAGAATCAGCCCCCAAGGTATCCCCTTCTCTTTAGTTCTGAATACATATTCCTACCAATGTTGTGGTTGTACATGTTCCTACCATGTTTCTACTCAGGGTAAGCATTTTTACTTTGAATGTTTTCTGTTCTCAATCTGCGTTTCTGTTGTCGTTTTCGTATCGTTCTGCCGATATTCATGCATGATAGGGTATTCAATTCTATCGATAAATCTCGTGCACAAATGTATACATGCAATGCAGAAACATGGAAGGCAAAACAATTTCTAAATTTACATCTTCTATGACTTAAAATGTAGAATTGGTCTGTGAAATACACGGAGCAATTCATATTAAACGGGGAAAATCTATGTCACATTAATTGATTGAATGGATAGGAAAGTAATATATACTCATGTCGGTTTGAAATTACAAAAAGTGGATTTTAGTAATATTGGTTCTCCACTTGCTTAAAATATTTTGGTCAAAAAAGTATTTACTCCGTATATAAAGAGTCAAAAGTAATTTTAAGAATCTACCAAAAAATAATAATTATAAATTTTAGATGGGTGTTTTTTCCAACTTTGCTTTAGATATTTGTGTCATCCAATAAACCTCATTATTACGGAGTAGATTATTAGAAAATGATGATGAGTCCATGTACATCCACTACATCATCTCAGTAGGTTTTTTTTACTCGTAGAGTCGTAGTCTTAAATTAAATTATAATTTCTCATTTATGAATTAAATATTTTATTTTTAAAATTAATTTATTAAAAAATTCGTATAAAAAAAGTTAATAAAATTACATAGTAAATACTACCCCGAAAGTTTTACAAAAAATGGCGACATGAATATTTTATTTTATCAAATAATCAATGAAAATATATAAATAAATAAAAGTAATTGAAAGGTATATTCTAAAATATTGTTATCTAATTTGGAACGGAAAGAGTATGAAATTTCTACTTTGTTTTGTCTTCAAATTTGCTCTTAATTCATGCTCTTACCTACTCTCTCCATTCTGAATTGATTTCAATCCATTGAGATATACAGTACAAAATATAGAATATATTATCAAATAATAGATTAATATAATATATATGAATTATATGACGAAGACACAATATTTATGTGAAAATTCAAGTTAATGAAATTCACGAGTTTTTTCTGGCGATACTATGCCAATGAAATACCGGAGTAGTTCGTTATAGATGGGGTATTTGTATTATATCTCAACATGATGACTATTTATGAAGCTTGAAGCTCTATAAAGGAAATAAAGAATATAATGATATATGTGTAGATGTAACTCTAATGTGACCTTCTCTTCTTCGTGGCTTGCAGCCCTATTTATAGTCTAATAAGAAATCTTAGGGTTAGGGTTTTCCTAACAGGCTTTTCACATGAGCCGGTCCAATAATGTTCATTTAGTTGTTAGATTGAAAGTTTTATTAATTTGACCAATCAAATATTAAAAAAATACTTCAAAGTATCTTATTTTTTTTGTTAAGAACTCATAGATCTCATATTATTATACGGAGTATTTTACATTGAATCATCATTACTCTTTATTTTATTATATTTTGAAAAATTTTTCAATTTGTAAGTTACTCATTATTATATTGTTATAAAAGGCAATATCTTATTTGTATTTTCATTAGAAAATACAATTTTGAAATAAAAAATATTTTATTAATATAAAAATATTTTTAAAAAATTAAAGTATTTATAAGTTTTTAATGAATTTACTTTAGAAAATTAAACTTTTTATAAATCTTTGTTTAGAATAAATACTTTATCAAGTTTGATCGAAAAAAGTCAAAAGTAGACAAATACTCCTAGACGAAAAGATTATGGAAATTTTACCATAAATAAAATTACCATACCTGAAATTTTACTATGTTTAGAATTATTAATTTTTGTTATATATATTTTGTATGCATTGTATGTGGAAGTATTGAAGTCGTTAATATAATAGAGACAAAATTTCTATACGTATACGTTCATTATTGTTTTGAAATAATAATATGGAAATAATAATATTATGGAACATAAGTATAATGGGGCGAAAATAATATAATTTTACTTTAAAAATGATATAAATATGTAATAAAAATATGATGGGATGAGAGTTATATTTTAATTTAAAGTATATATAAATTTCAGATTTAAATTTATATAAATATAAATATGGAATTATATATTATTAATAATATATACTCATATATTCACATGAATAAATAAAAAATAATTAAGGTAACGAGATTATAAAGTGGGGTAATAATAATAATAATAATAATAATAATAATAATAATAATAATAATAATAATAATAATAATAATAATAATAATAATAATAATAATAATATACTTTTATATTCTATTTTCTTTTCGATTATCCTCCAATGGTACAAGTCATCTATTTTTTCGAAGAGTACAATAAGTATAGTATCTTGTTCTTGTTTTTTATGCACACGCATATACAAACACGGGGTGTGGTCGTCCCCCAAAAAAATAGGTCAGATGATGTAAATTTGATCGGGTAGGTTTGACTAGGTCTAACATAGTCAAACGGATTCTAGCAGGTAAGGAGAACACACAAGAAAGTAAGAGCACAACAAGAGTGACCTAATTAAGAAAAAATTTATATGTTCAAACTATTTTTTTTACGCTGTTACAAGTGTGTACAAGTTTGTGTGAAAATGTTTGGATGTCAATTCCTCCCTCTATCACAAGCTATTTATATAAAGTGGAAGAGGCTAAGGTAACTAACCATTACTAAGGCGCGGACCTAGCGCCCATAAACGTCTATGTATAGAAACAACTCTCACACTCGTCGCTCATAAATTTTGTCATTTGATGTAGCAAAATCTTCGCTGCACAAATAAGTCACGAAGATGGTGGGATAAGGTAGCTGGACCGCGCCTATCAATAGACCCATGCCACTCCCATTGACCTAGACATTAAAGTCCGACCGAGCTCATTTGAGAAATTATCTTCTAGATTATCTACTATGATGAAATATGACCATGCAGAAATATGACTTTGCAGAAATATGACCATCACCTTTTTGGAAAGGTTTGACCAGTCATCTTCTTGAAGTATTTTTGCGTTTCCCAAACACCGTGTATTCTTGACCAGTCATAATATGACTTATCACTTTCCGAGTACTCGAGTCGGGTATAAGTTATATGTATCAGACTTAGATGATTTAGTCAAGAGTTATAAGAGATTATTGCGTCACTTCTCTGGATATAATCTTTCATGATGACACCAATTTATTTTTAGTTTGACTTAAAATTGAAATTTAAGCCCCATCCCAAATATTGGAATTTATTTTGGGCTAACCTTCGGCGTAATTGCTGCAGCTCTCACAGATCCTTGTTTCCTTTCTATAGATAACTCATCTCCGTAAGTTGGTCAACTCCTCTCTCTCCAGCAATGGCGATTAGGGTTTTCTCCATCATTGTTCTTCTTCTCCTATCTTCGTCATTTCTTCAAGGTTCGCTTACAGATCCGTACATGGCTTAATCAATTTTTTTCATTTCATTAAATCCAATCCGTTCGCTTGCAATTAAAAAGATTAAACTTTTAATTGAATTTTGATCTATAGGTCTTTGAGATATGAAAATGAGTCTCAATTGTAAAGATCGACTTTTTTCGTCCAGATTTTGATGATTTTTTTCTGATCTCAGCTGTCATATGTTCATTCCGCATGCATTAGTTCTTCCTCTTTTCAAAAATTCCATACCTTTGATGTGTAGATTCTTTTAACAAGGTGGAATTTTTCCGCACGCCGTTCTTGCCTTATGCCCATATGACCATATCAGCCTCTTGTTCACCTATTTCACAAATTGTATCATTTTTTTGAAGGTAAATCTTTTAACTCGGAAAGGAAAGTCTAATCAATTGAGGAGTATCAATTAATAGACACATGCTATCATGGAAGTCGTAAAGAATCCATATTCATAATGAAAAAATGGAAAATAAAAGTGCATTTGTGTTTTTCTGTCCAGTTATTTCAATTGGGAAGCATTCAGCTGATGCTGATTTGGGATGTGCATCCTAATATCTGTTCAAGTTTTTTACTTTTTTGATTGTGCATGAGTTCCGGGCTCTTAACAAATTTCATGTCTAAAATATATTTGTAAATGGTATTAGAATTGTTTCAAGCATTGATCCCTAGGTTGGCTATGCAATTTTACAGTGCAATTTGAGTGTAGGGTACTATTGTCCCTTTGACTCATATGGTATTCTAATAGCTTGCTTCTTCACTTTTTAGTTTCTAGATGTGACTCAGAAGGTGCAAAAGAAGTATGGGAAAATACCGAAGACGGAGGAGATCTTGGAATTGTTGGTGAGGATGTCCGAGATTTTGGTGGTGGGACTTATGGTCCAGCTTCAGAAGTGGAAACCATTTGTGTTTTTCCTAAAAACCCATCTAAATGTTAGTTTTTTAGTTCTTTGTTTATATCTATCTGTTGTTCCCTCTATATGTAGAATAACAGGATTTCTTTCTTATGAAACATTCTTAAGTATCTTTATTTCTTCACAGTTGTTCCGGCTGGGGAGGAGAGCGAACTTTTAGTTGGATTAAAGAATGATGGTACTCTCCATTACTTGGCGCTATGTAGCTTTTCCTCTTTATGTACCAGCATTTTAAAATCATTTCAAGTCCTTCACTCTTTCACTGTCGTTGGCTCTTCTTTGTGGTGACTAAATGGACAAGCCTTCCTAAGTTCTTTTTTGTTTCTCATAGAATTATAGTAGTACTGGTGCTACGTGTATGCAACTTAATTTTACAAAGTTTTTTCTATCTGATTCAATTTCTTGGGTGTTGTCTGCACATTCGCCACATTGTTTAACCTGAAGATATTCTTGTCTGGGTTTTGGATGTTATAAACAGCGGCATCAACTTTGAATGTTATTGCAATCCAGGCTAGTCTTCATCTTCCATATGACCATCAATATTTGGTTCAGAATCTCTCTGTTCAGGTAAATGTTGGCTCTGATATTATGATTTATGAAATGCGTTTTTACAATGCACATTTAGTTTGTGAGTTAATGCTCATGGTGACTAACATGCCTGAGTGTATATCCTTTTTTCCATATTGTGAAAATCTTCCCCCCTCCACCTGTTCAATTTGGGTGTCTCATGATCAACAAAGAGCTCAAATTATCTTCTCATTTCCGTGGATGTTTGTCTGTTGTTTGGTATCAATTAGCGATACTCTAGACAATAAGTTGTGTATTTTTAATATTTCAAGTAATAATATCGATGTTGTGCCTAGAAGTTCAATCAATTTAAAAAATGAAGCACTTTGAGTTTCGACAGCTGTGTTGTTATGTTTTTATATCAAGAAGTATTAACCTAAGTCTGAGTTGTACTTAAATTAGTGCATATCAAGATCCATTTATTGTTTGTTTTTCCCCAATCTTGTAGGGTTTTAACAATGCAACTGTTCCACCTTCTGCTCAAGCAACATTTCCATACATATTTGGTGTCAGCAAATTTTTGCAGGTGAGGTCATTTTGCTTGTTATATGCCCTCAGTTGTTTTTCTTTTAATATGAATAGTGTTTTTTTAACATTTAAAATGGTATGTTTTGGTCTTCACTATTGCAGCCCGGGTCTTTTGATCTTGTTGGGAATATTGTGTATGAAATAGACCAGAATCACTATCAAAGCACATTCTACAATGGCACCATTGAAGTGACCGAGCCTGGAAGTGTTCTCAGTGTTGAGTCTGTTTTCTTGTTTTTTCTTGGAGTTGGTATTCTTGGCCTTCTTGGATTCTGGGTTCATGGTCAGATCCAGCGCTTCTCAAAGGTGATTGCATTTCACTACTATCAGGATTATACTTGTTTGAAAAAATAAAGTTTCATCTGTTAATGTCAGTAGGGAAAGCAGAGATTATACCGACCTTATTCTATCATTTCTGAAAAATATACAGTGAAATCTTATTCAAAGAAAAAACTTGGGGTCAGTTTGGAACCTGGAAAAAGATGAAACTTATACAGTGAAATCTTATACCAAGATAAAGACTAAGAAACTAAAAAATGTTATATAATTGTTTTATTTCCAATCATATTTTCCAAGTACAACACAAAGCATAATAAACTATTTTGCCTGAGTTTTTTTAAAACTTTCACTACCAGATTCTTGTGGCTAAGCAAATCCTTAAGCTGGCTGTGTTTTGTTTCCCTTAACCCAATTTGTAGAAAACTAAGAGGGCTCCAAAGGCAGCAAAGGTCGAAGTTGGAACTGCAACAAGGGATGCTGCCATGGACGAATGGTTGCAGGTTTGGCTTCTTTCGGTTTCACATGTTTTTTTAATAAAAAATCTACATGCTTATCTGGTGCACATTTGAAAAAAGAGTTGCGTTAATAATACACAAACATTTAATGTTTTTCAGGGAACTTCGTTTGCCCAGTCACAATCTAAATCAAAGAAGAAGAATTAAAACAACAAAGTGTTTTGATTAGTTGTGTGCTGCATCTGCATTCATTCTAGAGAGGAAGTTTCCTGTGTTGGGCGTTTGAATTTTGGCGAATGCTGAAAAGCTATGGGATAGTTAAAATTGTATTCAAACAACCCCTACACCAGTGAGTGTTGTAGCTGTACACTAGCTACTAGACTTTGCCCATTGTGTTTTTACTGCCAAAACTGACTTCACCTATGAAATAGGTTTGAAAAAAAAACAATTTTTTCAACGCCCGATCCTTTTACTGTTTCAGTTTTACTTTGATCTTTGCTCTCTTGGTAATTTGCTGTTAATTGGATTTACTTGGCTCTTTCTCACTTTGTTTGGTATTGACCCTTTTGGCATGATCATTTTTGGGTTGCGTAAATGTTGTGACGTCTCAATTGGTAATATATTTTTTATAAACGAGGCACCATGGGGTTCTTGGATCATTCCATGACATTGCTAATCAATGTCCGGTAGACCTGGCAAAAAATGACCCGACCTGTTTTTGACCCGAAACCCGACCTGAAAACACTGGGTTTTGAACAATGGTTTTGATGACCGAACTCGAAGTTGATCGAACCCGAAATGACCCGCTAAAAATGGGTCAAACTCGACCGAACCCGAACCCGACCTGACCGACCCGCTAAAGTAAGAATTTTTCAAAATCATACACTTTACTACTCGTTTTTAGTGTACAAATTTATATTTGCAGAGAAAATTTTAATGATATTACATAATTATCTTACTTTTTTCCAAAACTTAAGCATTTTTAAATTCCTTATATTGATTTATATATCTAAAAAATTACTTCAGAGTTTAAAATAAATCAATTTTATAGATTTAATACATTTTTTTTTGATATTTTAAATTTATTTAATAAAAAATGTAAGTGGTAATGTGAATTTAAAAATTTTAAAAATCAAAGTTATAACCCGTTGGGTCGACCCGAACCCGACGATACTGGGTCATGAACATACAGTTCTCAACCCGAACCCGAAATAACCCGAACTTGAAGTGACCGAACCCGAACCCGACCTGACCGACCGATTTGCCAGCTCTAATGTCCGGGGTAAATATTAGATAGACAGAGCTATAGAAAGCTCTTGCTCTACTAGGGGTGAACGGGTTTCCCGTTAGCTTTACGCTGACCCAATAACTTGGGCTTTAGCCAGATTGGGCCTACTATTCCGTAATGTATGGATGATGTATAAGGAAATGCAAGTTTAAACCTAATAATGGGTAAGCATCGCTTTCTGTGTAAAAAGGTTTTCTTATTTTGATCACACAATATCCACTGCGTTTTCACATCATTTTGTGCTGCTCATTATCCTCTGTATGCCATGACAGCTACATCACAACAACGACAATAAATTGGTACTAACATATACGGAGTAAATAGAAAATATATAAAATGCAGCAGACAATAATAAGAAATACAGTATGTGATTTATTGTCCTAGATAATATGGGGACAGACCGACGAAGTGTCATTTACTCCCACGGTTTCAAATTAAGTTTTCACAGTTTAAAACATGATGATAGGCGAAATGTGGTGATAACGTGTTTTGAAGAGATGTATGTATTTTGGATCACATATTTTTTCTCAAGACGAGAAAGAATAGAACATTTTTTTTAGGGACGGATGAAAAGTTTTGCAGTGTATTTGTGTTTTAACAAAATCTAATCAGCTAGGTTACAAATAAACAAGATGCCCTACGATGTTTTGTTAGGTCTCAAATCTAACCTCGAGATTTACTAGAAAAAAATACAGAGTACATCGAAAAAGAATATACGACTACATCTTAAACAAAATTTCTCTCTTCCTTCCATGAAAATTTCTACTATGGTGTACATTTTTTTTTCTTATAAAAAAATAAACTTTATTCTTAAAAAGGAGAAAACTTTACGAACGAGTCTGTGGATTTAATGGGAGAGGGAATATGTGGTCAAAGAAAGGCTTGAAATGTGCACAAAATCAGAAAGGCAAAGCATTTGTTGGTGCATGAGAAGAATAAAAGACCCAACAGAGTTAAAACTCTCATGAGCAGAGGTTAAAAAAAGGAAAGAAATCAAGAAAAGGAGGATGGAGGATGACTTTGGCAGCCAGCCCCATACGGTTGCGGTTAATTGCCATTTATTGTAAAGTGGTGTGACCCGACCCTTTGGGCGTTACTACTGACTCTCTCTGTGTGTGTGGTCACAGACTGGGACATGGAATGATGGCAGAACACAACCACTGCAAACTGTCCATTTATTACCACTCCCTCTCTTCTTTAAAAATAATTAAACTTCATCTTTTTCTTTTACTAATTGCGTATACACATAAATTTACTGCCCATGACGCATTGAAGTGGACAGAGTCAATGTTATGGCTTAACTATACATATTCATGTGAAGTTTGCGTGCGCTTTTAATATATCGATGCCTATAAATTCCAACTTTGAACTGCTCTGCGATTATATTATTTGGAAATGGTAAATAAATGGAAACACACCCACACATATATATCATTAATCAAACTTATAACTAATCTGCTGGTTGCTTGTATTCTATTCTATAATGTAATCTGTAGTATAGCTAGGCAATTAGTGTGTGTTTTTGGTTTAACTAACCTCCTGGCCTGGCCTGGCATATCCTAGCCAGCATTCACATGACCTAAGCCCCTGATGATGTATTAATGAAAGGGTGGTAGTAAGTAGGTTTGCTGATTTTGAAAGCTCATTTATTTCCCTAACTGATCCCTAAGCTAACTTATTGACTTCATCATCTTCATCTTTTTCACTATTCTAAAAATATCTGTTTAATTAACACCGTTTAAGTCTCTATATCGATTAAGGAACCTTCATAATAGATTAAGAAATTATGGTAACAATACAATATGAAAATAAATAATAATAATAATAATAATAATATTTGTTTTCTACTTCGTATTATTTCTACTACAATGTCTAATTTTCCATGGTTACATTAACACTATATTTGGTTCAAAGACTTTGAAAGGGAAAAGAAAGAAAATGAGGTGGAAAATATGTTTTCCAGCTTAAACACACACACACACACTAACTGCAACTAATTTAATTAAGTCAGTATCAGTATGAATGATGATCCATCAACCTACCCGTATGTGAGGTGAGGGTCTTTAAAGTGGGTAACGTAGTAGTAGAAAGCGTCGGTGATAGATAGATAGATAGATGAGCGTTTCACACAAACTGAATTCAATTTTGATCAACTTTCTCTCTCCCTCTCTGTCACCACTTCTTAGCTACCTAGCTTCCAGATCAGATCATTAAATGACATTTTTTTCTGTAGTGCAACGTATGTGAGCATAATATAATTATGTGTTTGTTTGTGTATATATAACGACCCTTTCACTGCACCGACTCCACCATCAAACTCACTTTGCATGCAGGCTTAATTAACTAGCTTGCCTGCTCTGATCCTCTCTAAGTGCACTCCTCAGATGGGGCTCGTTCCTCGGCCCCTGCGCCGCAGCCGCAGCGGAACCCTCCTCCACGTCGTCCTCCTCCTCGGATTCTTGTTCCTCGGCTTCTGCTACGGTGACGACGGCAACACTGTCAATGTTGTTGGGTTTGGAGAATGCTCTGACTGTAAGGACTATAACATCAAGACCAGTCATGCCTTTTCAGGTAGTATATTTATGCATACTTTATGCATGTCTAATTCCTACTGACTATAATCGTTAATCACTTGGCTTCTAACAGTTATATATATGAATTATTATGTGCAGGGCTTCGGGTGACGATCGATTGCAAGGTCGGTGGCGGGGAGAAGAATGGAGGAGGGATGCAGAGGATGGGAGAAGGAGAGCTGGATAAAGATGGCAAGTTCCAAGTGTCATTGCCAAAGGAGATGGTGAAGGGGGATGGGGAGTTGAAGCAGGACTGCTATGCTCAACTCCACAGTGCATCTTCTACCCCATGCCCTGCCCACAATGGCATTCAGGCTTCCAAGATTGTTGCTGCTTCTAAGAAGAAAACACCTGCGGCGGCGTTTGAGCCGGCTGAGAACCTCAAGTTCTCGACTGCCTTTTGCACCTCGGCTTTCTTGTGGCCCTACTTCAAGTTCCCCCCCATGCCTGACCTCCCACCCTTCCCTAGCATCGATCCCTGGAAGAAGCATTTTCCTAAGGTTTCCTTCCCGCCTTTGAAGCACTTTGGCCACCCTTTCCCCCTCCCATTCCCACCCTTCACCAAGCCACTCCCACCTCCCGTTTCCGTGCCCGAGCCTGAGCCACCCGTTGACAACCCACCTCCAACTCCTGTCTACAAACCGGAACCCAAGCCAGAAACCAAGCCACCCGTTTATATTCCACCAGTCAACCCACCTCCAGTTCCTGTCTACAAACCAGAACCCAAGCCACCCGTTTATATTCCACCAGTTGTAAAGCCAATCCCGCCTCCAGTTCCTGAATACAAGCCGAAGCCCAAGCCACCTGTTTATATTCCACCTGTAATTAAGCCCATTCCGCCTGTTCCTGAATACAAGCCAAAACCTAAGCCCCCGGTTTATATTCCACCTGTAGTTAAGCCAATCCCACCTCCAGTTCCTGAATACAAGCCAAAGCCCAAGCCACCGGTTTATGTTCCACCTGTTGTCAAGCCACTCCCACCTCCAGTTCCTGAATACAAGCCCAAGCCTAAACCACCCGTTTATGTTCCACCGGTAGTTAAGCCGAACCCTCCTCCAGTCCCTGAATACAAGCCAAAGCCCAAGCCACCCGTTTATATTCCACCTGTAGTTAAGCCAATCCCACCTCCAGTTCCTGAATACAAGCCGAAGCCTAAGCCACCGGTTTATGTTCCACCGGTAGTTAAGCCAAACCCTCCTCCAGTCCCTGAATACAAGCCAAAGCCTAAGCCACCGGTTTATATTCCACCTGTGATTAAGCCGGTTCCACATCCAGCTCCTGAATACAAGCCCAAGCCCAAGCCCAAGCCACCAGTTTATATCCCACCCGTGATTAAGCCGGTTCCACACCCAGTTCCTGAATACAAGCCAAAACCCAACCCATCTGTTCCTATATACAAGCCGAAGCCTCCGGTTTATATTCCACCCATAAAGCCACTCCCACCATCGATTCCTGTATACAAGCCAAAGCCAAAGCCACCCGTTTACATTCCACCTGTAGTGTCACTTCCACCTCCAGTTCCAACATACCACCCAAAACCAAAACCACCAGTATACATTCCACCCATAAAGCCACTTCCACCACAAGTCCCAATATACAAGCCTAAGCCACCCGTTTATATTCCACCTATAGTAAAGCCACTCCCACCCGTGGTTCCCATCTACAAGCCAAAACCAAAGCCGCCGATTTACATCCCTCCAATAATAGTAAAGCCATTGCCTCCTCCCGTTCCTATCTACAAACCAATACCAAAGCCACCTGTTTACATCCCTCCAATAATAGTAAAGCCATTGCCTCCTCCCATTCCCATCTACAAGCCAATACCAAAGCCACCTGTTTACATTCCTCCCATAGAAAAGCCATTTCCTCCTTCAATCCCCATCTACTACAAACCAATCCCAAAAACACCCATCTACATTCCTCCAATTGTAGAAAAGCCATTGCCACCAATACTAAAGAAGCCATTCCCAACATTGCCGCCAATACTAAAGAAACCGTTCCCAACATTGCCACCAATACTAAAGAAACCGTTCCCAACTCTTCCCCCTTTTTACAAACACCCACTCTTCCCCCCTCTGCCCCCTCACGTTGCCCAACCTTAATAAAACCGTGAATCTTGAGCTCCATTCAACTGAGTGTCAAATCTCCTTGCTGTTTTAGATTCATCTATATACTAGTATATGTTTATTCGTGCAATGACTTAGCTGGCTCAGCCTCTCGTCGTGGGAACTTTTGTTTGTGCAATAAAAAGTGCAGAAGTGAATGGATCAAAGGCCACTGACCAATTTGAAGAAAGAAAATGAAGGATGAGGCTAGCCAGCGGGTGCATATTAGTTAAAATTGCTTTTGTTTATTTGTCTGATGAGATTTAGCCGCCTTGGTTTGATGGCCTTGTTTAAGTTTGTAAAGTGAAAGTGTATTACTGCTGTTTCAGTTTCAGTGTTGTATAAGTTCATTGTTACAAATAATTTCATACTGTATTTTGCTTCTTTGATGATGACTTCCCAAAGTTAAACAATTGGAATATGCAGAAGTGACTTGTTTCATGCCTTCATGCTTTACAATGCATATGCACTCGCCCGCACTGGTTTGAAAGAATGCCTGTTTTGTTTCATAAATGGTTCTGGTTTAATGAGCCTTAGAGTTGGATTTTAACCGAAGGTCATTAGTTGGCTTACTTGCACTCATGAACTAGCTAATTCGCACTTAAGGGACAGAATTCATTGACCCCTTCTTTTGACAACAGCACTTGTTGTCACAATATAGAAAAATTAATGTTTTCTGCCCCCGACCCCTAGCACCCCCATGCACCCTCCTAAAAATATCGAGAGGGAGAAGACATGAAGTTAAGGATAAAAACCATCAATTTTTCGAACGAGGCATTGTAACCCTTGTTGTCATATTATGACATTATTATATATTGAAAAAAGAACCGTGGTGAATTTTACGGAGTATTGAAGTTATTATAGAATTTGAAATGTGGTCTTGGGGCATAGACACTTGGACTGCGCGTACCCTCATCTCATTCTCACACCAATACAGATAAGTTTTCGGACATCTTTTAAAAGATCTCATACTAATTAGTTGGATTGAATCATTATACTATATTTTGGTTCTATTTTTCTTTCTCCTCTAGTGTGGTTACTAGTTTGTACCTAGCAAACTTCTCCTAAAACAGAACTGCACCTCTGGTGACCTTCCACAGCAGCGACGGTTGAGAACTGTGAGATATTCCGTGTACAACTATCGACGAGTAGTTCTTATCGGGCTCCTTAATTATTTAGCTTTGGCACCTAAAAAAGGTTTAATTTCATCAATCTTCTTCACGACGCATAAAGTTTCAATGAGAAAATTAAAGCATGACTTAATCTCTCTTACAAGAGTTTGTAAGGTGTGCATTGCTCGTAGGTTGCGAAGGCTTCCAAGAAACACTTCTTTGCTTTGGTACCCGAAATGTTGTCATCTAAAATTCACAAATTATAAATATATGAATCTTTTGACTTTTGTTTGGGATTTTAACATCTCTCTACGAACAATATTGTGAAAATATGGTGGAATTCTCGTGACATTGGCTTTCAATGTCATGAGATGACATTGAAGCAAACACGAGCATATATGGATTCCTGCCCCCCCAACTCTTGCGGCAAACCCCCACATCAGTTCCAATCTCAAATTTAGTTAACCTATAAAAAAAATTGATCCCACTGTTGTGAAAGATTATGTAAAAAAATATTTTGAACAAAAAAATGACACTGTTCGTTCAAAAAATTTGAAAGGAAAGAAAAAGAAAATGTTTTTTCTTTATTTTTTCACCAAAATGGAATAAATTTGATTTTCAATCTTATTAGTAGTATATTTTTTCCTTTGTCGTTTTCTTTTCCTTCTATTTTTCTCTTCTCTCTAACCAAACTAACAGGATATAGTTATTATTATCATCATCATTATTATTATTTACTTTTCCTATTTTATTATTGCCATAGTTCCTTTTTTCACTTTGGTTAGGATTTTCTATAAATATAAATATAATTCACATTATTTAATAAGATCATAGGACTAATTATTATCAAATTACTACCTCTGTTCCAGAATATTGGTCCAATTTTGACTTTTTTCAGTGAATCAGTTTTTATCTTTGACTTATATTTAAATAAAATATATATATATTATATATTGATTAGATAAAATAATATTTCAAAAATATTTTATATAATCAATATAATAAAAATATTTTGTATCAATATCTAATATTATTTTAATTTAATTTGGTGTCAAAATTTACTAATTTTTATCGAAAAAAGTCAAAAAAAAATCAAAATTGAAGGGGAACCGGACCACTGAGTAAATTCGAAGAAAAAGCGCGCGTACAGGTTGATGTGTTAGGGTTTTAGCTTCCAACCTCCTTGTTCAGTCGCTCATACTGAGCTCTCCGAACAGAGTTAGGCAGGAAACACTTGTTTTCCCGATGACGGAGACTCCGAACACGAAGGACCAAGCTAGCGCCGTAGAGGCTTCGCTGTGGTGGGACTCATTTTCCACCTTACTCACCGAACTCGAAAACGTCCCTTTCTCCTCAGACATCACCTCTTCTCTGGTATATCGTTTTTCACTGTCGCCAATAACTAAATGAAGGGTTTTTTTTTGGGGGGGGGGGGGATGTTATGCGCAAACTTCGAATTTGACGTTTTCTATTTTCTAAATTTAGGAAAGGAAGTTGAAGGACAATCATGCGTGGCTCCTTGATACGAATTCATTGTTCAAATCCCCTAATCAGAAATCAAGAGATGCCTTGGATGGGAGCGTATTAAAAATTGATTCTCGACAGATTAAAATACGTCCGGAACTCAAAGAAACAGCCCTACAAATTAGTTCTATTCTGGTAATCATTCTAAATTGAAATTTGTGTAATGCTTAGCATTTGAATTTTCATAGAATATCTAGCCTGTTAGCTCAAGCTATAACCTTTTGCCTTCTAATAAGTTATGCTGTAGGCCTTTTTAATATGGAATGTGCATAAGGCGAAATCTCTCATGCTACTTTGAATGCTTATAATGAGCTTATTGTTATTGATATTGTTGTTTTTTATGTTATTCTTTTCTGAAAAGAGGCAACATTTGTTTTTTCTAGTTTCTGGATGAAGTGCAGTCATACATTATTGTTGAAAGATCACTCAGTCAGAACACTCTGGCCAGAGACGCACCAATCCATGAGCTACCTCATTTGGTTAGTAGCATCTATCCAGCTCTGCTTGGCCATATTTCTTTTTATGCCTTATCAATGTTTATTGATGAATTCCTAGCTGACTTGCTTGATGTCATGAACAACAATTGCCAGTGAATTGGTTCTGCATCGTCTTTCTTCATGGATCTTCTTATCATTTAAATTTATCTTTACCAATATTTATATGTGAACTATTTGAAGAACATTTTATCTATACATTCATATTATAGTTTAGGAAGAATTGTGCTAATTTTTATTTGCACCTGAGTATGTTGGTCATGTTGAGGGAAAAGATGATGACATGACATGGGTTTCTTTCTAATTTGTCCGTTTCCTGGGTCATGCCTTCTGCATTACATTTTCCAATTACATATAACATATAAGGATGTCGAAATCACTTCTGTTGTAACAGTTACCAACTATCTTTAGTGAACGATATGTGTGATATCAATGTAAAGTGCTATGATAATTCTGTAGATTTATCAAAGGTGTGTTAAAATAATCACTTCATATTTTAACTTTCAAAAAAATGAAAATAGAAAACATAGGAAATCCCCTGCTACCTAACTACTTCACTGCAGTATCCACATATGTTGCAATATTGAAAACATTCATACAAACTGTGTGGTCAGGCTGAAACAAAATTTGGAATAAACTATGTAATCCACGGCCCCTGCCACTGCTAGCCCATCCATTTTCAAGATTTTGGAATAAACTATGTAATCCACTATATCCAACCATTTCACCTGATATGGCATCATGGTGAACATTGTTGTGTGGTTCAGGTTTTGAATTTCTCATTAGTGATAAGTCCTCATTTTTAATTTTTTTATTTTAATTTTAGCCTCACAGTTTGTATGAATATTCTTCATCAAATCCCTTTTAATGAGTTTCCCGTAGTATGAATGCCAACTTTAGAAGTTGCAGAAAATGAATGATACAACTAACATTCGTAGTAGTATTATTGTATTGGATGCACTTTTTATTAATTTCATTTTGGAAAATAATGTTGATGAATGCACTTTTCAATTTGTGGCTTGGGAACTAACTTCGAAATTAAGTGCTGTTGAATATGTTTTCTCATTTTCATTGGAAAATGAAAGCCTCGAGAATTGTGAAAATAGGAAAGTAGAGATGAGATGTAATAGCATCCTAAGTTATACACACCGCATGCATGCCTTATTTTCATTCAATGATGAATCTGCAACGGTCTGTTTGACTTTTCTTTACTTTCACCGTCAAGATTATTCTTCACTACTATGTTGAGCGGCAATGCTTATTGAAGTGCACAAGACAGATCCTTATGCATGCTTGTAAGCCTTCCACCTTGGAGCTATACTTTTTTATTTAAATTTTCATAGCCTTTTTATTCTATCCTAGTTCAAATGTATTTTTATTGTGTAACGTTATTTTTCAGTTGCTATCACATAGACTGATTGATAAATTGCATTGTGCTTATTTGGTAAATCATTTCCATTTCGTGAGAAAAATGAAGGTTCGTTCGGCTTACAACTCATTAAGTAGTTCTTTGTGGGTATTAGGGGAGAGATGATAAACTTGTGACTGCATGCTCACATTGATTGGGCGATCTTGTCCCCCATCCACCTTTACACCCACATGGTTGAGTGCTTTCCATTCAACTTTTGACTAACAGTAAGGGTGTGTTTGGATACTAATGTATAATTACTAGGGTTGAAATCACTATGGTGTTATAACATGGGTGTGTAATTACACAAGATTGTTGGGTAGTTGCATTGTACGGAGTAATTACTGTGTAATTAGTAATTACTCAAAATGTGTTTGGAAACACTAGAGTGTAATTGGTACTCCCACTGTCCGGGATGATCATCCCAAATTGACTTTTAATGCATTTTAAGAAGAGTTGAAAAATAATGTAAATGTCTATTTTACCCAAAGTTGTTACAGCGACTAGGCGAGGCCAGGTGCCAAAGTACCTTCTGCTTCAAGTCACCTAGATGATTTGGTGTTCGGCTAGGAGTCTATTAGGCAAGTGCAATATGGTGATATACATACATGTGTGTGTATATATATATGTATGTATGTATGTATATATGTATATATATAGTGTTTGTGTGTGTGTATAAAGAAAAATGAATGACCCAGAACCCATGTTACTTTTTAGAAAAATAGAGTTCCTCATCGCCTTATTTGTTTCCATGCGAGATTAGGCGAGAGGCGACCGTAAGGCAATGCTTGGGCAAGCGCCTCATCACCTTAGGTGTTTTCAAGCAAAGCATCCGGCGAGGCATCCATCTCATAACGCCTTAGCGACGCCTAGGCGTCGCATAGGCAACACATTAATAACTACCTTTGTCCTTGTGTATTTGTCTAGTTTTGACTTTTTGCAGTTAACTACTTTCAACGTTTGACCTATACTTAAATAAAAGTTATAAG